GAGACCAGATATGAACTCAGGTCCTAACTGGCCCTCAGTTATACAAATTCCAAATCATTGCTCTTTACCAAGGACTCTATTAGATTGTAAATTCCTGTAGTGCCTACCACAGTGCTCTGCAAAAAGCATTGTGGTATTGAATGAATGAATGGATATGGCAGATGGGGAAAGTTATTACGCAAGTAAATACAGAACCCTAATGAAGGGAAGTTGAGATGATACTAACTATTCTGCTTTTTGGCAGGGATAGGGAAGAAGAGAGAGGGAGGAGAAGGAAAGGGAGAGAACACCCTAAGATGCCTGGCTAAGTCCCTCATCTGGTGCTTGAAGTCCTCTCCATCCCATGCTTCGATTTCCTCTTTATGATATCTAGCTTGATGGAGAGCCTTGGGAAGTTCCTGACCAACTGTGATTCTTTTCATTTTAAAACTATTTAGATTTGCATTGTTATCTGTAGTTGTTGTTTTTCAGTTGTATTCAACTCTTTGTGACCCTGTTTGGGCTTTTCTTGGCAAAGATACTAGAGTGATTTGCCATTTCCTTCTCCAGCTCATTTTGCAGATGAGGAAACTGAGACAAACAGGGTTACGTGACTTGCCCATGGTCATACAACTAGTAAGTGTCTGAGGCCAGATTTGAACTCAGGCCTTCCTGACTCCTGGTGCTCTATGCGCTATGGTGCCACCTAGTTGCCCCTTCACTGGGCATAAAAAGGAGAGTGTGAATTTGACTCTATGAATTAAAAGTTTCAAAAAGTTGAAGGAAATAATTTATCCCATAGGGATAGAGCCAGAAGGCTTCAGCTTTTCTAAGGATCAATTTCAGCCCATTTCAAATTTTCCCTATGAGGATTTAAAGTAATGTTCATGTATATTCTTAGATTTGTGGATAATCTTGAGAATAAATAGCTACTAATAGAAATAATGACTCTGCCCATTTGGGGTATTCACTAGTCAGTTTTTAAGAACAACCTCTCTTCCCTGCCCCGAGTTGCTATTGGGTCTATTTGGTCAGACCCATCTTCCTCTCTCTCCCTGCCCTTGAAGGATGCTGTCTTAGTGATTCAATGATTTTGAAGATTTAAACAAACCAGTTCTGAATAATTTCTATGGCTAAAGGGAGAAGATTTGTCTGGTGTGAGAGTCGTGTGTGTGTGTGTGTGTGTGTGTGTGTGTGTGAAGTAGATTATCCCTATCTGGAAAATGCAACGATGCCTTGTTTTTCTGGCATAAAGTCATTTTGGAGACTCCTGGTTCCTCCCAATGGTGAGATACCATGTTATTATTCCTCCCACCTAATTGCCTGGATTCCATCTAGAAAATAGGGCAGTAGGGATACAAAGGAAGGGAAGGGGGTGGGAAGCTTCCTTGATGAGGCAGATTGATGTTTACAATGAGGATTCTGAGGTGTTAGTGTGGTATAGGAGAAAGAGTTTTGGGTTAAGAGTCAAGAGATCTGGTATTGAGTCTTGGCTTAGATCCTTACTACCTGTGTGACCAGGAGCAAATCACTTATTCTTGCAGTCTCACCTTCTCATCTGACCAGCCGTTACATTCTAAGGCCATTTGCCCACTGATATGGGCATAAGGAAGGGAATAGGTATCTGTGTAGTGCCTATTCTATGCTAGGCACTGTGCTAAGCACTTTTCACAAATATTATCTAATTTGATCCTTGAAGCAACCCTGCAAAGTGGATGTTATTATTGTCTTCAACTTACAGTTGAGCAAACTGAGGCAAATAGAGGCAAGTGACTTGCCCAGGCTCACATAGCTAGTGTTTGAGGGGAGATTTGAACTCAGGTCTTCTATTTGCTGTGCCAGCGATGTGCCCTCTAGAACCTTAGGTACTACTTTCTGACCGGCTGGTGTACCCTAAAGACCCCTGAGCCTTGCCATCTTCCTCCTTCTTAAAGGATCCTGGGCCTTGCCATCTCTACTACACCTGTGCTCTTATATATCTGTTGTCTCCTCCTTTAGAACATGAGCTCCTTGAGAGCAGGGACTGTCTTATGTTAAAAGTTTGCATTGGCACATAGTAAGGAGTTTATAAATGTTCACTCATTCTATCATTCCTCAGTCCTGTAATTCAATGATTTCCTCAAGACCTATTGAATTATGTAGGAATATTTACCCTCCAACTAGATGATCTAAGATGGCTGTGCCTTTTGAGTTGTTTTTTTTTTTTTTTGCTTTTTTATATGTTTTCCTTTACTCTTAGCTGTCATTTCTTAGTTTTCAAAGTTCCAGCCTCCAGCAGCACCCTCCTGAACTCTGCTAATTGGCCACTTTGAAAATCCTATAGGATGAGAAACCTTTAGATTTGTATTTAAAATAAGAGTTAAAAGAGGCTCTGAGTGAGGTTCTCTTTTCAAAGTACAATATATGGACTTATTATAGAATTTAGAATTGCAAATGACCTTAGATATAATCTAGTCCTACTCCCTTACTTTGCTGATGAGGAAACTGAGGCTTGGGTAGAAGGATGTATGAAATGAATTGCTCAAAGTCACATAGGTAAGCAACTGGGAGGATCAGGATTTGAAACTGGGTCTTTTTATTCCTAATCCAGAGTTCTTTTGTCATACAATGTGTTCCTTGTATTTTGCAGTATGCCTTTGGGTATCCTAGAGACTTCTTTGCTTTCCCCATGTTTTTCAGTCATGCCAAAGCATGGCTGAAAGATGAGCACTGGATAAATAGGGCATTACTGACCTATTTCTTTGTGCTATTAATTCATTCTAAGTACTTATCACTGTCCCTCCTCTTTCTCTCTCTTCTTTTTAGTGCCTAGAATGCTCAAGCATCACAGTTTTTTGGATACTGGGAGAATCAGGCTACACTAGAGGGAAGGGGAAAGATGATGACAACTCATATTTTTTTTTTTTTTTGCTTTTTTGGTGAGGCAATTAGGGTTAAGTGACTTGCCCAGGGTCACACAGCTAGTAGGTGTCAAGTACTGATTTGAACTCAGGTCCTCCTGACTCTAAGGCCGGAGCTCTATGCATTGCGCCACCTAGCTGCCCCGACAACTCATATTCTTACAGCATTTCAGAGTTTCCAAAGAACTTTCTTCAAAAAAACCCTTTGAGGTAGATAGTATGTTGTTATTGTTGTTATTGTTATTAATTATTCTCCTTTTACAGAAATGGAACTGAGTTTCCCCGAGGTTAAGTATGATATGGCATGGTAATGATAATAGCTAGCATTTGTATAGTCCTTTGAGGTTTGTAAAATATTTTACAAATGTTATCTCATTTAATCCTCATAATAACCATGTGAGGCAGGTGCTATTATCATTCCTACTTTAACAAAGTCACACTTTACAGATGTGGAAACTGAGGCTAAAAGAGGTTAAGTGACTTACACAGGGTCATATGGTTAATAGGTATCTGGGGCAGGATTTGAATTCACATCTTCCTAATTCTAAGTCCGTCACCCTCTCCACTGTCCCACTTGCCTGCCCTGGCTGTAAGAAAAGGGCCAGGAGTACTAACCCTTGGAATGAGCTTAGGATGGCAAGGAAATCCAAGGATAAAAACCAAGGGTTAAAATAAAAAGCTGTATTGGGGAAAAGAAGATCCAAGAGAGAACAATTCTTGTTGTTTGGGATGGAGGGGATGATGGTAATTGATGAGAGAGATGATCAACTCTAATTTTCCTTCCATCTTCTCTGCCAAGTACAAAGATCTTTGGCCTGGAAAGACTAGCACCAAAGTGGCTCATGAGAGTTGCTACCCAAGATAAGTAAGGCAATAAGAAGGAAGCACCTACCTGCCCTTGATCAATCAAGCAACTAATCAACATTTATTAAATACCTACTGTGTGACAAACACTAGACAGTTAAAGTTGCTATGTTCAAGTCACCTGCCCCAGATGAGCTGCATCCTTGGGTACTCACTGAACTGGAAGATGTGATTGTTGAGAAAATGTGTCAGTGGTCTTTGGAAGATCTTAGGGAAGAGGAGAGGTCCTGGGTAATGGTCCTGATTTTCAACAAAGGGAAGAAATTAGAATCTGCAGACAACAGGCCAGTGAGCTTGACTTCTCTTCCTGGGAAAATTCTAGAGTGTATTGTTAAAGGCACGGTTGGTGAACATTAATCAAGAAAAGAAAGCAGCAATCACAAAGAATTAGCATGGCTTCATCAAGAAAAGGTCGTGCCAGACCAACCTTGTTTCCTTTTTCGATAGTGTCATTAACTCAGGAGATCAGATGTAGAACTAATGAAAGTGTTTGACAAAGTCTTTCATGCTAGGTTCATGCTAGGCCTGAGGAAAAGATGGATCAGTATGGACTAGAAGATGGCATAATTTGATGAACGCGGAACTTGCTGAATGTCTTTGGCCAAAGAGTAGTTCAATGTTGGCTTGGAAGGGGAGCTGTAGTGACTTAAGCTTGGTCTGGTGCTGTCTAGTGGTTTTTGTTTCTGTTTTTTTGATGAGGCAATCAGAGTTAAGTGACTTGCCCAGGGTCACACAGCTAGTAAGCTTCAAGTGTCTGAAGCTAGATTTGAACTCAGGTCCTCCTGACTCCAAGGCCAGAGCTCTATCTACTGCGCCACCCTAGCTTCCCCTCTGTCTAGTGTTTTTGTCATGACTGGGATGAAGGCATTTTTGAAGGCATTTGTAGCACACTTACCAAGTTTTCAGATGTCTAAAAGTTGGGAGGGCTGGCTAAGACATTGGATGATAGCATCAGGATTCAAAAAGACCTCAGCAGGCTAGAATGCAGGGCTGACTTTGCTAAGATAACATTTAATCAGGATAGATATAAGGTCTTATCCTAAGATACAAAAAGCCAATTTCACAACTGCAAGGTAGAGGAGGTGTGGCTAAAAATAACCATTAATCTGAGAAAGATCTGGAGGGCTTAGTGGACTGGTGAGCCCACTGTGAGCTAGCAGGGTAATATAGTAACAAGAAAGAGAATGTATTTCAGATTCAATATGGGGAACATGTGACCAATACTAAATTGATATTAACATTAATGGATATTTTCAGGTATGTGTGTAGCCTGGTATACTATGGCCTTACTTTGAATGCTGCTGAGCTCAAAGGAAATCTGTACCTGAATATAGCTTTGTATGGCCTGGTGGAAGTCCCAGCATGCCCTCTGTGCATATACTTCATCGAGAAGCCCTGGTATGTGTTATTTTGTGTGGCTGATTTTCTCTCATAGCTTTATAAAAATGATTAATTGTCTGAAATCTGAGTTTCTCTAAACTCGGAGCATTTTGTTATTCCAAAGTAACCCATTCCCAGTTCACAGGAAATGATAAATCAGTTCATCTTGAAAAACATAGATTAAGAGCGTACTATGTGCAGGGAAGTGTGCCAGGCACTGGAATACCAAGACAAAGTGAAACACTCTGCCCTGTAGGACCTTCCATTCTAAGAGGGGGGAAATTGCCATGTCCACAGATAAGAAAGCCAAGGATTTCGTGAAGGTGGAGAGTTTAGTAACAGCCAGGGCAATCAAGGAAGTCTTCATGTAAGACCTGTCAGCAGAGAGGAAATTTTCTTTATTTTGACCAAACAAGGGAATATTATGAACTTGTTTGTGCATATATAGGACTGCAAGGCTTTCAAAGAGTTAACCCACTTAGAAGGTGAGTCATTTGCAAACCTTTTTATATGCTAGGCTTAGAACTGACAAGTTCTTAATGGCGGTAAGTGCTTAAATGAAGCTGGGATGTGGTTGGCAGTATTCTCTCGTTAGATTTACCTAAAGCCTCCAGGAACCTAGATTTGGAGGCTGAAGGGACCTTAGACATCATCTTTAATCTCTACATTTTATAGATGACACACAAGTTGAGTGACTTGTTCAAGGTCTCCTAGGTAATGAGTGACAAAGAACCCAGATTTAAACTCAGGGCCCCTCACTCCAAATTCAGTCCTTTTTCAAGTGATTTTGCCAAGGTCCAGCTGTCAGAGCCCAGAATCTAATACAGGCTTTCTAACTCTTACTTCCTGCATTGCTGTTAATATCAACTAGGCATTTTTTAGCTATGGGACCTTTGACTCTCTGGATCAATTTCCTCATCTGCAAAACATTATAGTAATTGCAGTATTCACAGTGTGGTTATGAGGCTTGAATGAGATGGACTTTGTAGATCTTTGAAGGCTTTATTAAGTATCAGTCAACCAATAAGTATTTATTAAGTACCTACTGTGTTCTAGGTTCTTTTTTTGACACTTCAATTTATTTTGAATTATCAACAATCACTTCCATAAGCTTTTGAGTTTAAAATTTTTCTCCCACTCTCTCCCACCTCCCTCCCTAAGACAACGTGCAATCTGATATAAGCTATACGTATATATTCCTATTAAACATATTTTCATATTAGTGATGTTCTAAGTAAGAATTAGAATAGGAGGAATCACCAGAAAGAGGAAACACAATGCAACAGAAGAAAAAATATAGCGAATAGTATGCTTTGATCTGCATTCAAACTCCATAGTTCTTTCTTTGGATATGGATAGCATTTTCCATCACGAGGCCTTTGGAGATGTCTTAGATCCTTGTGTTGCTGAGAAGGGTTAAGTCTATCAATATTAGTCATCGCACAACGTGGCTGTTACTGTGTACAGCGTTTTCCTGGTTCTGCTCATTTCACTCTGCATCAATTCATACAAGTCTTTCTAGGTTTTTCTGAAGTCTGCCTGTTCATCATTTCTTACAGCACAGTAGTATTCCATTACATTCATATACCACCACTTGTTCAGCCATTCCCCAATTGATGGACATCCCCATAATTTCCAATCTTTGCCACCACAGAAAGAGCTGCTATAAATATTTTTGTGCATGTGGGTCCTTTTCCCATTTGTATGATCTCTTTGGGATGTAGCCCTAGAAGTGCTATTGCTGGGTCAAAGGGTATGCACATTTTTATAGCCCTTTGGGCATAGTTCCAAATAGCTCTCCAAAATGGGTGGATCATTTCACAACTCCACCATGTGTGCTAGGTTCTGTGCTAGGAACTAGGGATACAAAGTAAAAAAATGAAAGCCTGTCCTCAGAGTTGAATTTCTTCATGGGGAAACAATGTATACATAGATAAATACATACAAATAGAGGACAATGTGGGAGGGGGAACTGGAAAGCACTAGTAGCTGGAGGACTTCTTAGAGGCATCATGTAGAATAGGGATTCTAAGGTGAGGAGGGGGTGCATTCCAGGTATGGGGACTGAAAGGTCAAAGGCATTGAGGGGAGATGGAGGGTAGTGTGTGAGGAACAATAAAAAGTCGAATTTCTCCAAACTGTAGAGTTTGTGATGGAGAGTGCCGTATAAAATAAGATTTAATAATAATTATGGGCATTACAGATAAAGCATTTGCCAGGTTCTTTGCTCATTATCAGTCAGTTTTACCTTCCTATTATCAAATAGGAAAAAAAGAGCATAAACGCTCTTCACACTATATTTTTTCTTTTATACAAGAGAAACTCTTGGCAGAATACCCTTTCCTGACTCTTCTGGAATGTGTTAGACTCCTGGAGTATTTGTTAATTCTGGGAATTAGTGGAATTAAGCTTCTTGGAAATTGACCACTCCTTCCATTTACAGCATTTAAGCTGTCTAGGGTGAAATGATGGGGAAGAAACTGTTTCCAGACCAAAGTCTCAGTGAGATCTGATTGGGATTTGGTGAAAGCATTCTGGTCTTTGAAAAGATTGTCTTCTTTATCATGAATTTGGGCTGCCATTTCTTCTTCTAGCCCAACCCCCTTCCTTTACAAACAAAGGAAACTGAGAACCAGAGGAGTGATGTGATTTAAGGGAAAACAGGAGAGAAGTGGAAAGGCTACGGTTAAAACCAAGGTCCTCCAACCCCCAAACTTGGGGTCTTAGCACTGAAATTGTTCTACACTCTGTGCACCGCACCCCTTTCCCCCAGCTCTTTACAGGTCCTAGAAGATTCTAGATTCCAGACTCTTTCCACTACTCCCCATTGTCTTTTAAAACTTCTCATAGGATTAAGAACTAGAAGGGATCCCAAAGATAATTTAATTCAATTTCCTGATTTGACAAAGAGGAAATTGAAGTCTAGAAATGGGCAGTGTCAAGGCTGTTACAGATGAAGAAACTGAGGTCCAGAAATGGGAAACAAGTTAAGGATGTTACAGATGAGGAGACTGAGGCTTAGAATAGTTAACTGGTTTGACCAAAGTCCCCCAGGTGATAAGGACTACAGGCCAGGTCTGCAGCCTGGTCCTCCTGCTCTGAATCCAGCTCTCCAAGGCACCACCCCTTCTTTCTGTCCCTGGATAACAACATTTTAAGCTTGATAGGAGATGCTTTCCTTTGCCTGAGAAGCAGATATCACATTTTATCAAGAGACTTGAGGGGTTGAAGCCCTGGCCAATTTGCTGTGGGCATCTATTCTCAATTCTTTCGGGGTGAGATTTTAATCCTCTGTCGGTCTAAGTTATTTGCATCTTGCCCAGGTGGTACGCAGTAGGAGCCCTAGCTTGATGGACGGATCTCCTTGGCTCAGCCAAATACTCCCGGCTCGGCCAAGAATTCACTGACGTTATTTACTCGGGGAAATGAAGGCAGCCGCCGCATGAAGCGTGCCATCTGCCACGTCTGACCTTGTGTGCTTTTTCTTTTAGGGCAGGGAGACGGAAAACCACCTCTGCTTTTCTCATTTTTGCAGGATTTGCCTGCATCTTGACCATGTTCTTAAGTGAACGTTCAGGTAAGTACAAATTATCCAACGTATCAAAACCTGTGGCTATGAGAGGAATCTGATTATCTACCCACAAATTCTCAGGATGCTCAAAAAAATCCTCTAGGAACATAGAGGGAGAGGAGCAGGAAAATAGCGATGGTGTTCATTGACTTGAGAACTTCAAAATTCATAACAAGTTTTTTATAATCTTTTGAAACAGACTAATTTTAGAGTGGAGCCAGTCACCAAGCATTTATTAAGTGATTACAACATGCACAGGTCAATCTTTTCATCTTTTTTTCTTAAACAGAACTTTGATTTCATTGGTGTAGCAAAATCCTGGTGAGATGAATCATGAATCATGAATCATGAATCATGAATCATGAAGATTAACACCCCCTCAGCAACAGATAGTCTTAGAGGCTGACTGGGGTGCTGAGAAATTAAGGGGCTTGTTGCCCAGTGTGACACGGACAGTATGAGTCAGAGGTAGCATTTGAACCCAGGTGTTCCAGATTCTGATGCCAGCTCTCTGACCATTACACTGTGCTGTTTCTCACCTCTTGATTATTCATGTTAACAGAGGAGAATTGTTAATAAGAGTAATCAAACAGGAGATAATCAAAATAATTTCATATTTGGCACTGTGGAGTACATCCCTAGGATTTAAACTCCTTGAGTTTAAAGATTGCTTTTTGTCTTCATTTCCCAGCATCACCTAACATGGTACCTGGGTATGTAGTAGGCACTTAATAAATGATAGAATGATCTCCACATTGATATTTGAATAGAAATTCATGGCATTTCCTGTTAAATTATGGAATCTCACTGCCTGACTCAAGAGAATCTATGAAGTAATTTTTTTTTAATCTTGTCCTTGCCTTACCGCTATTATGGTTCCTTGTTATACCTTCTTCTGTGTGGTGACTAACTGCATTACCTGTTAGATGGATGCCTGCAAATATTCCTTCCTCTTTCTCTTTTTAAATTTCTCTCTATCTCTCCTTCTCCTTTCCCCTACCCCTCCTTTTCTCCTCTTTTCTCTCCCCCATCTCAATTCATTTTAGTGCAATAAGTATTTGGTGAGCAGTGTCTGCCTTGTACCCAGCTCGTAACCAGACCCTGTGGGGAGGGAAGAAGGCAGCCTAGTGTCAGGGAGGGCGCACCAGACCCCAGGTCACATCCTTGCCTGGACAGGGATATAGCTTGATTCCTCTGTTCTCCTGGGAGGGAAATAGAAGTCGCCTACTCATAGGTTGGCAAGCTAGGGCCGAGAAAGCTTCCTCCTGTGGCCACCTCCCCCCTTTCTCTCTTATTTTTCCTCACTGTTACTGAGGCAACAGCTGTTGTGTGCTTATCCAATCAGAGTCTGTTCTGGGCCTGCGTCGTCAGTTGCAGGGCCTACCAGTTATTTCCATGTATGTCTCATCTCCCCACGCTAGGATCATAGGACCACGGAGCTGGAAGGAGGGATCTCAAAGGAAATCTACACTAACCCCCTTCATTTTTCAGAGGAGGAAACTGAGGCTCACAGGGGTGAAGTGACTTGTTTAGGCTCAAGCATCAGAAGGAGAATTAGAAACAGGTCCTCTGACTCCAGACTCTGCCCTCTTTCCCAGCTGTACTCAGCTCTTAGAAAAGAGGCTTTCTCTTCTTAGGAAGGAACCACTAAATAGTTGGTGAATGAATGACAAAATCCCTATGAAGTTTAAAACAAGACTTGCCTTGGATAAACCTACAGAGTGGATAATCTACCCCCTCTAGGTGGAATTTTGTGGTATTTTAGTCCATTGAAAAATGTTGGAATCCAAGGAAGAGCACAGTATATGTTTTATGTATCTTTGCATCTTCCTTAGTGCTTAGCCTAGTGCATAGGATATAGTAGAAAATGCTTGTTGAATTAACAGAATGAATCACTTTTAAAAAAAGATTTTTAAATGTTAACTTTATTAGGGCTTAGTAAAGCATTCTTATTAAGAAGTTTCTCAAGCTTTTGGAGCTATAGCCCTTTACCAGGTCTTGCCAATATCAACATTTTCAGATGAGCCCATATGCAGCATTCAGCACTGTTGCACTAGAGAGAAATGCTGAATTTGGAGTCAGAGGACCTATGTTAGGCTTTGGGCTTTGTCACTAATTACTGATTGTGCTTCAGTTTCCTGATCTATAAAATAAGAGCACTGGGCTAGACAAATTCTAAGGTCCCTTCATTGTCTGGGTGAGTAAACAGAGGCCCATAGAATGGAAATGACCTGCCCCAGGTCACACAAGGAAACTTAGGATTTGAACCTAAATCCCTGCCTCTCAGGTCAGTTCCCTTCACTGCCACACGTGGCTTTTTGCTGATATTTGCTGGTTTTATTGCATCATTTTCTCTTAGCTTTGGTTCTTATTGGGTAGTTGCCCTGGTAAATGGTTTTCTAAAGTCATCATAATTTCCTGCTGTCATGGCAGTGAAAATTCAGAACTGACTTTGATGTTCCACTGTTAAGGCCTTTCAAAGATCAGAGACGGCCAACAAGTAGCTAATTGAGTATCTGTCCATAAGCAAAGACCTAATAGGAGCTGATAACTGACATTAATGCAGCACATGATCTCATCGGATCCTCACAGCAACCTTGTGAGGTGGGTGCTATTGGTGTCTTCATTTTACAGCTGAGAAAATGGAGGCTGTGAAAGGTTAACTGAAAGATTATGTATATTTAATACTAGCACTAATTTGTTCATTGGCTTTTCTGTGATGAGAATGAGGCAGCTAGGTGGCTCCATAGTGCATAGAGTGCTGGGCCTGGAGTCAGGAAGGCCTGAGTTCAAATCTGACCCCAGCCACTTATTAGCTGTATGATCCTGGGCAAGTCACTTAACCCTGTTTGCCTCAGTTTCCTCATCTACAAAATGAGCTGGAGAAGGAAATGGCAAACCACTCTAGTATCTTTGCCAAGAAAACCCCAAATGGGATCACAGAGAATTGGAGATGACTTGAAAAATAACTAAATAATAAGAATAAGGGCATAAGTCATGGTATGGTGGAAGAATGATGAATTTATAGTCAAAGGCCCTGGGTTCGATTCCCACTTTGCTACTGACTACCTTTGTGTTCTTGGATAAGTTGTCTCCCTTCTTTGGGCCTCATTTTCTTCACCTATAAAATGGGTCCAGAGTAGATGATCTCTAAGGTACATTATAGCTCAGATTTGTAGTGTAAGCCCCTGGAGGGCAGGGATTGTTCTGTTTTGTTTTTTTTTTTTAAATCTTTGTAGCCCCCGTACCTAACACAATTACCTGGCACTCAGTTTATGCCTGAAATTGCTTGTTAACTTGAATCGAAGACCCATAGAGAAAATGAGATTTCAGTTGTACCCAATAGAGAATAAGAGTTGAGACAAAGCTGCCAAGCTATATGGAAAGCCACTTTATTCTTGGTTGATTTCATGGTGAGGAGACCTTGCTGGGGGTAACCTGTGAGTCATTTTCCGTCAGGCCAGGACTAGAATTGTTCCTTGGCCCAGAGAGATATGAGTCAGTCTGAAACTGACTCAGTTCTCAGCATGATGCCTGGTGACTCATTTCCCTCCATGATATAATGTTTATTCCTTGTAAGGCTGACCTCCTGGCTGTTCTGTTGGCTGGAAGGCTGGCTTTTTTTTTTTTTCCTAAGAAGAAAAAGATACTCTTATAGAATAATCCAAAATCGTCCCAGGAATATAGGAGGAGAGTGATTTAAACAAAGAAAAGAAAGACTTACAATAGCCTGAAAGGAATCATGGAGTTTTAAAGGAATGTCTTGTCATTCCCATTTCTGAGGATTCCTGATTTCCAAGCAGCCCAACTTTGGCATGGCACAGAAACCAAATGGGCATCCTGAGCATCCAAGTCACTGGACGATGTCCCATTAGTAAGAAGCAGCCCTATGACCACAGAGGTGGCAGCCAACATTCAGAGTAAACAATTCAGGATTTGGCTTTCCTGTCAAGGTCCATCTATTCAAGTACAGAAATACAGCGTTTAGTTGAAAAATCACTTTTGTTTTTATAGCGTGGAGGACTTCAAAAGCAAAAGCAAAGCCCCCTTTTTGACCACACCCTAATAAGTGTATCGTTCACCGGCCAAATGTAAATGAAATTCCATTTTCTTGATCTTGTGATATGGCTGTGTTTGTGTGTCGGAGTTGGGGAGCCCACCTGTAATGAAATGTGCTGGGCTAGGAGTCAGAGGCCCTGTGGGAGGATTTTGGTTCTGCCACTTATGACCTGTGTGACCTTGGGAAAGGCCCTGAAGCCCTCTGAATGTCAGTCTCTAAAATGAGGGGATTGGAGTAGATGCCTTATAAGGTTCTGTCCTGCTCTTTGAGCTCTGATGCAGGGTGGTCTTGTTTCCTTTCTGTTTTGTATCCTCAGCACCTAGCACAGTGCCTGGTGTGTAGTAGAGTTAATAAATGCTTGTTGATTGATTGATCTTAAAAAGCACACTGAAGAAAGCAAGACTGTAATTAGGATCCCGAGGCTAGAACTAGTACCTGGGAACTAGCCGGAGCAGAGACCAGGTGTTCTTAAAGGAGCTGATGATATAAAATCATATTTCTAGAGCTGGAAGGAACGTGAGTGGCCTCCTGGCAACTCTTCTCATTTTTCAGATGAAGAAATTGAGTTTGTTGGTCACTTTTCTATCCATCACACACCATCCTGAAGTGGTTTCCTCCTGATCTTCCCACTCTTTGCCCCAATGTTATCACCACTAAAGCTTAAGAGTGAGGAAACCTGAAAATCCACCCAGAGGCAAAATACTAAGATGGTGGTCACACTGGGATTTACCTCCACCTGTTGGTGCACACTGGGGAAAAGCTTTGGTGCAACGGCAGTAGTAACTTTGTGGTTCTGCTCAGCTGAACAAGAAGGGCTAGTCCTCTATTGCTAAAAAGGTGGCGGACTTCTGGTCTTTTTTATTTTTATTTATTTTTGCTTTTTGGGAGAACATTTAGGAGGTGGCCAGGTGCTATAGTGGATAGAGCACTGGACCTGGAATCAGAGAGACATGAATTCAAATTGAGCCCCAGACACTTAAGAGTTTTACAATCTTGGGCAAGTCATTTAGTCTTTGTTTACTTCAGTTTCCTCAACTGTAAAATGGAGACAATGGTAATACCTACGTCTTAGGGTTGGTGTGAGGATCAAGTGAGGTGTTTAGCACAGTGTTGCATGCAGTGCTAGGTAAATTTGTTATTGTTGTTATTCGGTTGTTTTCAGTCTTGTCTGACTCTTTGTGACCTCATTTGGGGTTTTCTTGGCAAAGATACTGGCATGGATTGCCATTTCCTTCTCCAGCTCATTTTACAGATGAGGAAACTGAGGCAAATAAGGGTAAGTGACTTGCCCAGGGTCACACAGTTTAGTAAGCGTCTGAGGTCACATTTGAACTCAGGTCTTCCTGCCTCTAGACCTGGAGCTCTAGGCACTATGGTGCCATCTAGCTGCCTAAGCTTTGTATATGATGATGATGATGATGATTATGGTGATGATGATGATGATTGCATGGAAACTTTCAGGGTTTTCAACAATGTTCACGAAGGCCAACTCTTGGTGTAAAGTTTCCTTGGGGCCCATAGGTGACAGAGCAGGCATTGGTTAAATGGGAGTGACCTGCCCATTTGAATATTCCTTTGGAGATGCCTTGGTTAGACCATGACTTCCACACCACCTTGTACCCAATGTCTTTCTTTCTTCCCCCAGTTGCTACCACTCCTGCTTTCTAATGACATAAATTTGTATCTATTGTGTCTTTGCTAAGTATATGCTAGAATGAAAGCTCTTTGAGAGCAGTACCCGTCACACAGACTGGGCTTAATAAGTATTGTGGCACAGCATTGAGCCCTCCAAGTGCCAAGATTTCCAACCCTGAGTGGCTGGTTGATCCTTGAAGCACCTTCCATGGTTAATTGTGTCTAAATCTTAAAGAAAATTCATTTAAAATCATTTTCATTTTTATAGAGTATTTACCCACATACTTTCTCCTCACATCTCATCTCAGTCTTGCCCCGGGGGAAAAAAACAATCAAGAAAAATATTTTCCTAACTCTTCCTCTCCACCCTGAAGGCTTCCCCCCACCCTCTCCAAGCCTCTCCTTTGTACCTGTGACTGGGCTTCTGGGAGATCTAAGGGCATCGGTTCTTTTCACAGCAAGAGGCAAAGGTTTTCCTTAGGAAGCAGGGTCTGTACAAAGTAGAATGTGGTTTGTCCTTCACCCATTCAATATTTATTTGCTAGGTCAGACAAAGGTTTAAATTAAATATGTAGCAAGCAGCAACTGGCTACTTGCCATGGCCTGAGACAGAAGGAGAGGAGAATGAATCACCACTCACTCATTTACTCTTGCCCAGCTGGGGTTCTCCACCCTTCCTTCTTATCTGTCTCTCTCTCATCTTCCTTGGGAAGTTTTCCAGAGCTTTTGGCCAGCAGTAAATTGTGGTAACTGCCGCAGGTCTGACCAAGGAACAAAGCACCCTCATTCCCTTGGAGGCTGCTGCAGCTGCTTGCTTCTTCTTACCCTGGGGCCAAAATGACAAAGACTGAAACCGGAAAGGGAACCCTGCATGGCAATGTCACCTTGCATAGAGAGTCTTGCACTTTCTCTCACTTCTTTCCTCTTCCTCTCTCTTAAAAAAAACAAAACAAAAAACACAACAGACTGAAACACACTAGATCTACACAAGCAGAGCTCCAAGCAAATGATTGAAATCTTTCTTCTCCGATTCAAGGGCAGAGCAGAGCCCATCTGCTTACACTTCTCCCAAAGTCTCCTAATTTTAAGAGTATAAATTTTGGTGGTTGGAGGTGGAGGGTGTCTTAAAAAAATATGGTATATGCCTAAGGACCAGAAAACTCTGGGTTCCAGATCTGCCTCTGACACATTCTGACTGTAGTCCTTAGTTACTTAACTTCATAAGTCTCTAAGTTGAAGAGAAAGTGCTGACCCACATTGGGAGAGAAAGTTTCCTCATCCCAAGGTCTCCTATATTAATGAAACCATTGGTCCAGACCCTGTCTTCTATCCCTGTTCTACACAGAAGGCTACTGTTCACCAGGGAATGGATATTTTCAGTCAAACTCATTGAAACTCTCTCCTGAGTTGTGAAGCAGGTTGTAATCTACATGAGTGGGGGAAATAGCCATACTTATGAAATCATAAATCCTTGAAAAATCAAAGTGTTGTGATATGATCTCCCTCCATGGAATTAGGTTTGATGCTCTAGGCTTTGGGGTTTGAGACCCCTCATTGCAATTGACATCTTCACAAAGAATGGTACTAGATGTCATGAACTTTACAAGCTCCCAAGGGAATGGAAAGAGTGCTAGATTTGGAGCCTGGGTTCAAATCATTATCTGTGTGACCTTGGGTAAATCATCCTACCTATCTGAGTTTCAGTTTCCTCATTAATGAAGTGAAGGGGTTGGATTGGATGATCTCAATGCCTCTTCCAGCTTTAAATCAGTGAGTCTTAAAACCCTAGGGCATTGTTGAAGGTCTGATTCTTGGCTTCCCCCATTTTATTGTAAGCTCATAAAGAGTAGGTTGTGGGTTAGATATTTCTAACGTGACATCCACAGTGATAATTACAGGGTGGTTCACATAATAGGAGCTGAATAAATGTAGATTGAATGATGTCATTGAATTCCACTATCTGCATTTGAGACACTGCCATACTTTTAATGATCCCACACTATCCCCCAGTATACAGAACTGTCTTTTAGACATGACAGGTCTCCAGGAGATGTGTGATTGAGGATCTCGGAGCACCTGGGTCTCCAAGGAATCCAAAGGAGAGGACATTAAAGAGATGTGTGGTGGCACAAGCAGGATCCAACATATTTTCAATGATGACCTACATGTGAGAAGTATCCTAAGAGGTATCAAGGAGGAAATGTGTGAGTGGAAAAAGATGTGGACTGGTCACATGGAAAGAACAAGGGATAGTGGGTAGGCAGTCTGAGTACATCACTTATACCCATAAAATGGAAGAAGACCTACGGGGAGACTGGTAGCATTTCAGGCATCTCCTTGAGGATAAATCTGTGGAAGAGTAGAGGCAAGAGGGGCACAGGGTGAGATGAGTAGATAGTTCATAATTTGTACTGTTGGAGGTGATGGGGTATGGGCCCAAGCAAAGACCTTTGCCTCTTACCCCAAAAAGAATTTGGGTCCCATTTGTCTAAGGGATTCTCCTTAAATTCTCCCACTTGATCAAGGAGGTCTCTGGCTTTCACCTGAGGCTATATTCCTATCAACTGGCCTTTCTTTGCACCTATGCCCAATCTCCCAATTCTGTTACCTAGCCCTCCATTTTCTAGTAGCTCCAGATGGTCCCAGGCTACTTTCCACCTTTAATCCTATCTCAACTCCATTCTCCCTTGGCCATGTGCTCCAGGTCCCAGGAGTTCTGTTCACCCCAGTTTACTCCCATCCAGATCTTCCTTAGACCCCTCCTCCAGTCTCCTCAAACTACTTGATCACTCCTAGATCCCTCCCACAGTCTTTCTGTATATAAGGTCCATCTTGTCTCCATTAAAGTGCTCAGATTCTTAAAATCTAGCCACTGTTCAGATTCCTTAAGAGTCTGGCCAATATGGCGGATCCTTAATAAACCTTGTCTTTGGCTGAAAGAAGTCTTAGGTCGAATTCATTCAGGCAGGACCTTCGTGTTGTGATTTTAGGGTCCCAGCACCGTTAAACGTCTAGATCTCCACAGAGAGAGTGGTAACATTATTGACCCACAGACACATTAAAAGACATTGAGATAGAGGGATGATGTGATATCATATCACAATAAACGTTGATAGGTTGTATCTTCCAAGAGATTAGCTATCAGTTGTCTCTTGAAAAGAGCTTTGCAAACTTTAAGGTGCTCAGTAACTGTCAGCTGTTAGTGGTGGTCGAGTTCTGGAAGGCATATAGCAAGTAATACAAAGACCTGGGGTGTCGTGGATCTGCACACTCCTTCCATCAACATAAACTCTGGGTAGCTAGGTGGCACAGTGGATAGAGTATGGAATTCAGAGTTAGGAAGTAACTGTTGTTCAGTTATTCAGTTGTATCCTACTCTTTGTGACCTATGGGCTATACTGTCTATGGGGTTTTCTTGGCAAAGACACTGGAGTGGTTTGCCATTTCTTTCTCCAGTGGATTAAAGCAAACAGGAGGTTAAGTGACTGGCCCAGGGTCACACTTTCTTAAGACTAGACAATCAACAAAACAATAAATCAAGCCCAGATTTGTAGCCTTGGCCCATGTCCAAGGGGTTAACACTGTCAGTGACAATTGAGTAATCAGACTGATTGGGGCTAGTTCTAGCCCGACTCTTTTTAAGGTTTAATCTCCTGAGAACAACAACTTCAGCCCAATTTTGCTCTCCAGTTCAAGCATCACCCATTTCTGTCCTGATAAAAATCATCCTTCCTTTAATCTTTCCATAGGTTTGTTTTGGAATCCCATGCTGCTGGCCTTGAGTGGAAAACTGGCCATAAGCGCTGCCTTCAACACGGTCTATATCTACACCTCAGAACTCTACCCTACAGTAATAAGGTAGTCATGCTTCATATCATAGTGAGTACATTGAAACACCATTGTAATGTCAGTGTGTGGGAAATACATGTGGAAGATTGACCGCCATTTATCTTGTTAATAGCATTACTCTATACTCTATCGTCCATAGTCTTCTTCTTTTGGAGAATTAGATCATTTTCATGTTGTGCTCAGTAGGTCCCCTGGATCCACAATCTCACCAATGTGGATATTCCCTCCAAGAGTGCAGATCCCAACTCATTCCTGCTTGACTCTTGACTGTGTCCTATCATAGTTCACCACTAGGGGTCCGTCCAATGTGCTGGAAGCATTTTGTGATTTCTCCTGACATTGTGTGGATACCATTGGTGCCCACAGACAGTGATTATCCCTTCTCCTGGACACATGACAAACTTTCTTGATGACATCCTTTACTATACTTCTTCTTGGTAAAGGTCCATTTTTAAAATGCTGATATTTGATTGGCATTAGAGGATGGCTGTGAGACATGGAACTCTACTGTCTCGTAAGGATTAGAAACAACTACATGGTGCCGTGGCTAGAGTCTGAATCTGGAGTCAGGAAGACCTGAGTTCACTTACTACGTTGTAACTAGAGACTCTGGGCAAGTCACTTAACTGCACTCTGCCTCAGTTTCCTAAGCTGTAAAATGGGGATCATAACAGCACCTATCACCAAGGGTTGTTTTGAGGATCAAATGAAATAATATTTAAAAAGTGCTCAGCATGGTGTCTGGCACATAGGAGGTGCATAATAAATGCTTATGTCCTTTTCTTTGCTTCCTAAAAATTGAAAATTAGTATTTCTCAGAGGACCATAGAGAGTGACTTTATACACTTTATAAGACTTTATAAACAAGGAACTGCTTCATCTGGAACATTTAAATATATTTGCCAAAACAGGTTTTATGTGGAATAAAGGAAATTTGATTCTCCTCCACCAATTTCAGTATGCTAAGGTGTTAGCCTTATAACTTCATCTTCAGAAAGATAGAATCCTAAAGAAAATGAAATGAGGAAAAAAAAGAAAAAAGAAAAAGAAAATCAATTGAGCAATAAAAGTAATAAAAATAATAATAACTGACATTTATGTAGCACCGTGTGTCAGGTACTGTGCTAAGTGCTCTACAATTATTATTGTCATTAGATTTAGGCTGGAAGGGAACTCAGAGAGACTCAACTCCACCCCCATCATATTATAGATAAGACTTATCCTCCTGAATTCAAATCTGGCCTCAGACACTTACTAGCTGTGTAACCCTGGGTAAGTCGCTTCACCCTGTTTGCCTCAGTTTCCTCATCTGTAAAATGAGCTGGAGGAGGAAATGGCAAACCGCTCCAGTCTCTTTGACAAGAAAATCCCAAAACTGGATCAGGAAGAGTCGGACATCAATGAAACGATTCGACAACAATATCAAACCTGTATAAACAAGGGGAAGGCACTTAACCTCCCTGGGCCTCTGTTTCCTCAGTAATGAAACATAAGATGAGGAGGTTGGGTAAGATGCCCTCTGAACTCCTTCTAACTCTAGATCTGTGACTTACTATCCTAACTGGGTGATCTCGGGCAAATTATTTACACTTCCTGCGCCTCAGTTTACTCATCTATAAAATGAGGGAGTTGGATAAGATGCCTAGGTCTATGATTCTATGATTAGCAGGACTTGGATCTGAACCTGGGTTTTCCGACCCTAAATTCAGCTCTCTTCTGCACTGTACCCCAGGCTTCCCATCCTCTCCTCAGTACATGAAGGGCAAAATTATCTTGTATTTGGGCAAAATGGGTACAATGTTATAATGTAATCACAATGTCTTGAATTTGGAAGTGAGCTCTGATGTCATTAAAATCAATCTGTATCTTAATACATCATCTGGCATACAGTAAGTGCTTAATAAATGCTTGTTGGCTTACTATCTAGATAGAAATCCCTTCTGCATCCTTCCTATTAAGTGGTTATCCACTCCCAGCTTCCAGGCCACCACTGAGAGGGATCTTACTCCTTCTCCAGGCAACCCATTCTGTTTTTAAAAAATTCTAAGGATTAAAAAGTGTTTTCTTACAAAGCGGTCTCTCTGCAACTTTTATCCATTCCTTCAGCCCCCCACCCCGCCCGCACCCCTTCTGTTGGCTCCAGCAGTTGATGGCTCACATTCAGGGATGACAGGTGGTAGGGAAGTAGGGGAGGAGGTGGGAGGAGGGCCAGTGAGCTGATAAACCAGCAGAGAATGGGAGGCCGTATGATGCGGTAGAAGCAATATTCTGGCAGCTAAGACTCTGCTTCAGTACTCTCCCAGCCGGGTGACAGGAGCAAACCGCTGCAACTGAGTTTGCTTCTCTGGAAAATGATTATAATAACGCAGCCTACGTGTTACCTACCTTGCAGGGGGTGGCGGAAGAAAAAAGACATTGTAAATTTAAGTTGCTTGGTTAAAAGAGCTGTGGGCATTATTGTTCTAAGCCTGGGAACAGGAGACTTTATGCATTTCACAGGTTTCTCCCTCGAAGATTATCCCATGCAACAAAGGACTCCATTCAAATAAACCACAGGGCATGGGGAAAGTAATGTGTGAGGGCCCCATGAGCAAAGGAAACAGGTATTCAGAAAGTCGGATGGATGCCAGAGGGCTTCCAGCTCCCCATGCTGGTCTCCGCCCCCCTGCCCAGTCATGGAGGACAAATGTCTTTATGCAGTAAGCCGTGACTGTCATGCAGTATGCAGGCAGTGTGCCAAGAGCCAACGCTCCAAAGAAAAGACTTCTAGCTTCCAAGGTGCAGTTTATTTGCTGGAAAATAGAATCATTTACTTTTCTTCCTCTGATACAGGCCTGGGATCCATGAACTTACAAATTTGATAAATGTTTTTGAATATAATCGGTATCCTTTGTAATCCTATTTATTTATACAGTTAAAAACATTATTCTGCAAAGGGGGCCCTAGGCTCTCCCAGATTGCCCAAAGGGTCTGGGACACACAGAAAGGCTAAGAACCCCTGCTCTGATATTATCCAATTTTGTGGACTTACACAATTGAAATGAAGTAGTAATCAACCAGCATCTCTTAGCCCCAAGTGCCACGCACTGTGCTAGGCTCTTGGGATGGAAAGATAAAAATTCAACAGTCCCTGCCTTTAAGGAAGTTGTTGTTGTTGTTGAGTTGTTTTCAGTCGTGTTCAACTTTCCGTGACCCCATTTAGGGTTTTCTTGGTAGAGGTACTAGAGTGGTTTTGCCATTTCCTTCTTCAGTTCATTTGACAGATGAGAAAACTGAGGCAGACAGGGTTAAGTGACTCACCCAGGGCCACTCCCCTAGCCAGTGTCAGAGGCTAGATTTGAACCATGAAGATAAGTCTTTTTGACTCCAGGCCCGGTACTCTATGCACTATGGCGCCACCATATTTACATAGAAGTAAATAGAAAATGTACCTGCAAGGAAATTAAGGCAGCATGGTACAGTGAAATGAACCCTGGACTTGTAGTCTGAGGATCTCAGTCCAGTTCCTGGATCTGCCAGCTTGTGTGACCTTGGGCAAGTCACTTAACCTCTGTAGGCCTCAGTTTCCCCACCTGTAATCTGGGGTGGGGTTAGCCTAGATGGGCTCTGAGGTCCCTGCCCCCAGCTCTAAGATTCAATGTCAGGTACATGCAGAATGAGCCTCTCGAATCTGCTTTTCCTTCTCTTGTCTTTGGGTCATGATTTCATCAGGTTGGCAGGCCCTTCAGGCATCCTGACTGAAGGCCCTCTATCACCTTAGCTGATGTTGGTGCCGCCTTCCCCCCAAATACATCATCACCTGGTTTCTCAGGTGACAGTTCAAAGGCCCTACCAGGGCTTGCTCTCCACTGGCCTTGATTAAACACCATGAGGAGGAGTAGGGAAAGGAATAAGTATTTATATAGCACCTACTGTATGCAAGTGCTTTACAAACATTCTCTTGTTTGATCTTCACAACAACCCGGGAGGTGGGTGCAGTTATTATCCGCATTACAGCTGAGGCAACTGAGTCCCACAGCTGATAAGTGTCTGAAGCTAGAGCCACTGTACCGCCTAGCTGCCCCGAGAAAGCCAAGGAGAACCTCAGTGGAATATTGGAACAAATGTGTTTAATAAAAGTTTGTCAGATTGTTAAATGAATGTGCCTTCATGCTGACCCCTCGTTTCATATTATTGCAAAAATAGTTTGTCTTGATGGCTTTTGCTTTTCTAGTATAGTCATTTCAAGGAATACCCTTCCCTTCCCCACTCCCAAAATTGGATCCTCCCTAAAAACAAAGAAAACAGTTAGGCAAAAATACTGCATATAGTGGTCGTGTCTGAGAATGTATACAACACTCTGCTCTGGTGGTCCCCCACCTCTTGCTCAAGAGGGAAGAGGTGTACTTTCTTATCTGTTCCTCAGGACTATTATTGGTTTTTCAGTTGAGTAGGGTCTAGCTTCTCTTTATTAATCTTTCCTTGACGTCGTTGTCTTTATTTACATTGTACTTTGGGTTCTCTTTGTTTCATTCTGTACCAGGTCATACAAATCTTCCCCAGGTTTCTCCAAATCCCTCATTGGCCTCCTTTCTTACCATGTTCTATTTATATCCCATGGGTTTTTTTCTTTTGTTTGTTTGTTCTTTTCAGTTATTCCCCAGCAATGGGCATCTCTACTCTCTCAAAGAGTGCTACCCTGGGTATTTTGTAGTGGATACATTGGGTCTTTGCTTTTTGTTTGTGACCTCACTGTCCTCCTGCGCCCTCCCCACCCCGTGAGCTTTTTATATATTTATTTTTTTTTGTGGGATTCAAACTTGTGTCTTCTGATTTCATGTTCAGTGTCCTTTCCCTTACATCATAGGTCCCCATAAATGTCTATTGAAAGAATCAGTTACCTAGGAGCTTGGCATTTTCGGCTTTAAGGTAAAGGAGAACAGAAAAACTTGGCAGAATTCCCTTGGCTGTTTAGAATTCCCAAACTGATGTCCATTGATCATTGTCATTTTATTTATCAAACCATCAAT